AATAGGAGTTGTAACCTTTCGTAACAAGTATAATAGTGCTCCATTCCCTTAAACACAATGGGAGTTGTAACCCTTTTCGAACAAGTATATAGTGCTCCATTCCCTTAAACACAATGGGAGTTGTAACTCTTTTCGAACAAGTATATAGTACTCCATTTCCTTAAACACAATGGAAGTTGTAACCCTTTTCGAACAAGTATATAGTACTCCATTCCCTTAAAACAATGGGAGTTGTAACCCTTTTCGAAAAAGTATATAGTACTCCATTCCCTTAAAACAATGGGAGTTGTAACCCTTTTCGAACAAGTATATAGTGCTCCATTCCCTTAATCTTATTTCGATTTTCTTCTCTTCACTCAAAGAGAAGTGCAAACGCCTTTTTCTTATGTTTGACTGAGTTCTGCTTGTCTATTTAGGCGAGTGTGTTGAATAAATTAACTGCTTTTATTTATTGCGAAAATATTACCCAATTTTCTGTCTAAATTCAATGAGGTTGGGATTCAATTTAACTCTGTAATACTTTTTCTGCCAAATCTCCAATTAAATTTCATGTTACTCTAATATGTGAGAAATCAATGCACCTAAGAATACTACAGAGTCATGTGAAGATTCATGTTTTTAATCTTTGGTTTGTGGTTATATGATAGGGATTTATAATATTCAATGTGGTGTAAAACATGTAAATGGCGATAGATGTAAAACTATACTAGAAATATAGAATCGTTAAAATATTACATGTAGTTATGAGGTCTCTCGTACAACAATAATGTTAAAGTTTTCCTGCATCTTTTGTGATTAAAATATACAAAATCGAAGTTCTAATCAAAGTTAAATGTTGTGCTACGTCGTGTGTCTTTCTCTTGTGTTTTATCATGTGTTTTGAGTATTTTCTTCTATATACAATAATATTTAACATTAACAATTACCTCAATACCATGTTTATTTTGAATCCACTTCTAAAACAGAAAAATATTATTTGTCTCTGGAAATAAACTAAATTATTTTTCATTCGGTAATTCGGCCGATTATTCTAAAATTATATCTTTATCCTAGCCATGTCTGTATCAGAATATTTATTTTGGCTACGATACGAGGCTTCAGTTGAAGGAATAATTCAGACTATAGAAGTACAGAGTTCTGATTAAATGTGTCCATTTTTAGCCGCGGCTTATGAACGGCTCTAATTTTTGTTTTTTTTCAAGTACAAACTTTTAGCTCATAACTCCCACATCTCTTGACTGATTTGAGATCTAATTACAGTTTTGGATTCAGGAGGTCAAACCCTTTCGATTGATATATTTGACCACTCCCAAGGTAACATAGATTAATTTACTCTAATCCTGCCTAAAATAATTTCAAGTGTCGCAGCAATTGAGGATTCCTTCTTGTTTCTTTTTCAATAAACTAAACAACAGCAACAAAATATTAACCATAAATCGATAGTCTTGACATTTTCACTGATGGTTGCACAGCCAATATCACAATAAATTAACTGAGTCGGTTATATTCTTATAAAAATATACAACCCAGGGCATTTGATTAGCTAATAAAGTAGTTAATACTGAATATATATATTGAATCCTCTCTTAGAACACGCAAAATGATTTAAATCCGAAGATCATCACATCTAAGTTGTTCCTGCAAACACCAATTTTTTATATCTTTTAAAAGTACTTTCAAATTATGTGTGTTTTTTTTGTTATAGCAAAGCCACATTGGGCTATCTGCTGTGTCCACCGAGGGGAATCGAACCCCTGATTTTAGCGTTGTAAATTCGAAGACTTAACGCTGTCCCACCGGGGGACATTTTCAAATTAAAATTTACAGTTTGTTGTCGATATCTTGGCTGCTTTAATTTTTGAAGTGACATTAACTGGATTTCGGAGCTAAAACCACGAAGTAAGATTGTATTGAGTTAAATACAGTCTTGGCCGAAATGTTTGCATATTTTGTAACAAATAAGATCATTATTATTAAGATGGAATACAAATATACTTAGCGTTGTCAGACTGAGAAATTAAACATTTACGTACGTTCTATGTACATCTATGTTCTATGTACATCATGAACGATATATTAGATGAGGAAACCATTTTATTAGACATCTATAGAAAGGGGTGTAATTCAGCATTTCACCTATCACAACAAAACCTTTCCAAAACATATATAATGACAAAATAAAACATCAAATTATTATAAAAAAACGTCTGTAACCTTAGATCAGTTCATATTAAACATGCTTAGTTGGTCCTCCTCGTACTCTAATAACCTGTGCAAGGCGACGTGGCATGCTGTCGATGAGGTTGTTGATGTAATCAATCGTGATTTCATCCCAAATCGTCACTAGAAGGTGCTGCAATTCTGTTACATTAGCTGGTTTAGGGTCGTGATTAGCTATTTTCTGGCTCAGTTCTGCCCAACAGTTCTCAATGAGACTACAATGTGGATACTTTGCTGGCTATGGCAATCTGGTAACGTCCTCCTGATCAAGATAATCCTGTACAATACGCGTACAGTGGACCGTGGCGTTGTCATCCTGGAACATAAAGTTATTGCCAAACCTTGCCCTAGCACATGGTAGAAATATCGTCTCCATATGTTGCCTGTAGGAGGCGTCATTGACGTTTCCCTGGAGAATATGAAGAGCAGTGTTTCCACCATTATGAATAGCTGTCCAAACATATACTACACACCCTCTTGTGTTCTCTGTGGAAAAGACAGTCTTCCCTCATCTATTCTGCAGGCAAACGACGAACACGGATCCTACCATCAGCTTTAACAAGCCTGAAGCCCGGCATGGCCAGGTGGTTAAGGCACTCGACTCGCAATCTGAGAGTCGCGGGTTCGAATCCCCGTCAACACCAAACATGCTCGCCCTTTCAGCCGTGGGGGCGTTATAATGTGACGGTCAATCCCACTATTCGTTGGTAAAAGAGTAGCCCAAGAGTTGGCGGTGATGACTAGCTGCCTTCCCTCTAGTCTTACACTGCTAAATTAGGGATGGTTAGCGCAGATAGCCCTCGTGTAGCTTTGCGCGAAATTCAAAAACAAACAAAAAATCTTCTTACCTTACTTTTCAGTTTAGCTGCCTGATTGCACTTTCAAAT